ACCTGGAGCTGGGTGAATGGTCTACAGAAACCTGTGAATTGCACCCATGATGAACTGATCATGGTGGTGGCAATGCTCTTCTGGCTCCAATGCAAAAATTAATGCAGTTTCTTTTTTCGTTTATTGTGAGTACATTTATTCATTAACCGCTTCACGTCCACCCTATAGCAGAAATACTGCTACAGGGCGGCACGGGTGCACAAAATCACATATATATATATGTGATTTCGCGGTTCCAGGTGGGGGGGGGGCGCATGCAAGCTGCGCGTGCGCCCTACCCCCGCCCCCATTTGCAGCCTCGGCTGTCAATCACTGGGTCCCGGCTGGTGGATATTTGCCGGCACCTGGTGATCACAGAGTATGACTGATGGGGAGAGAGAACTGTATGTAAACAATACAGTTCTCTCCCGTCAGCTCCTGCAGTGCTTTGTATAGCTCTGCATAACAGAGCCATACAAAGCAGTGTGCTTACAGTGAAGCACACACACAGCACACGATGTGAAACAGCACACAGTTAACTTTTGATCGCCCCTCATGTTAACCCCTTCCTTCCCAGTCCCATTAGTACAGTGTCAGCGCTTTTTTTTTTTTTTTTGCCCTGATCACTGTATGGGTGTCACTGGGGATGTCAGTGACACCAAGTCAGTTCCCTCCAATGTCAGAATGCCCGCCGCAGTCCCACTATAAGTCGTTGATCGCCGCCATTTGTAAACACGATAACTTTCACATAAACCAATTAATTTACACATATTAGGATTTTTTTTTTTACCAAAGACATGTCACAGAATACATTTTGGCCTAAATTTAAGATGAAATTTGACTTTTAAAATTCTATTACTGGATATGTTTAATAGCAAAAAGTCAAAATTATTGTTTTTTTTTCTCAAAACTGTCGGTCTTTTTTTGTTTATAGCGCAAAAATAAAAAAAAATGCACAGGTGATCAAATACCACCAAACGAAAGCTCTATTTGTGGGGGGAAAAAAAGGACGTAAATTTAATTTGGGTGCAGTGTTGCATGATTGCGCAATTGTCAGTTAAACGCAGCGCCGTATCACAAAAAATGGCCTGGTAAGGAAGGGGGGTAAATCCTCTGGAGGGCAAGTGGTTAATGTGTTTGTTGTTTGTTTGTTTGTTTTTTTTTTGCAAAACATGGAATGCGCTTTTAACTCTTTATGCTGACTTTCATTGTCCAAGTCTAAATTATGCTGTACAGGGAATTACAGTTGTCTAATAGATTGTAAGCTCGAAAGAGCAGGGCCCTCGATCCCCTCATGTTTTGCATTGTATTGTTATTGTTCTGTCACATGTTCTGTCCCCCTTTGTAATGTACAGCGCAGAGCGAACAATTGGCGCTTAATAAATACTGTATAATAATAATAATAGTAGCACAAATTCAGGTACTAGGTCTATATGAATTCAAAAGTACATTATATTATTTTTGATAAATACATAACTGCATTAAATTTGTGTTTTCATGGGTAATATATTATAACAAATTCTAAAATAATTTATTGAAGTGAGCATTCCGTCACAAACTCCATCAGTAAAGAATGATTAAAAAAAACCTGCAATATACCAAACAGCCACAAATAGAAGTAATGAGAAAGGGAGCCCTTCAGTAAGGATATATTTCAAGTAAATAGCTAAATCTTAAACAATACATGTATCCTTTAAAATTTAAATAAAACAATAGTAACGGTACATATACGGTATATAAAAAAAGTCCTTCAAAAAGACAGCAAGCTCCCTTAGCTTGTTAGAGTCCAATCAATTACTTAGCCTGCGCCATATGTTGTAAGGTCTGAATGTGCAATCATCTGAACAGAGATCAGGAGGAACTCACTGAATTAAACACATTGCATTACAGTGTGGGAGGCAAGCTCAGAACAGATGCTGACGGAAATAGCCAATCTATATGCAGAAAGCACACAGAAATCTCAGCTCAGAAAAAAAAAAGAAAGACATTATTGTGTTTTCAAATCCAGTTCGTATCAGAGCTCCCATGATAATTTTCCTATCAAAGAATGAACAAAAATACTGCAGAAGTAAAAACTGCTTTTGATTTTATATATATATATATATATATATATATATATATATATATATATATACACACACACACACACATACATACACACACACACAGCGGGTAAAATAAGTATTGAACATGTCACCATTTTTCTAGGTAAATATATTTCTAAAGGTGCTATTGAAATGAAATTTTCACCACATGTCGGTATTAAAATGGAATGACACAGGGAAAAGTATTGAACACACAAAGAAAGGGAGGTGCAGAAAGGCATGGAAAGCCAAGTCACCAGCTGAAACCTATCAGTAATTAGAAAGCAATCTTGACCTTTGTCAGGGCAAATTAACCACTTGCCCTCCTTGGATTTAGCCCCCTTCCCGACCAGGCCATTTTTTGCATTACGGCGCTGCGTCACTTTGACTGGTAATTGCGCGATCATGCAACGCTGCACCCAAATTAAATTTATATCCTTTTTTACTACGAATTGAGCATTCTTTCAGTGGTATTTGATCAACTGTGCTTTTTTTATTTTTTGCACTATAAAAAAAAAATAGACTGACAATTCTGAGAAAAAAAAATCCAATATTTTTTACTTTTTGCTATTAAACATATCCAGTAAAAAAAAAAATCAAATTTCGTCATAAATTTAGGCCAAAATGTTTTCTGTGACATGTCTTTGCTAAATAAAATCCCAATACATGTAAATTAAGCATTCTGACACTGGGGGGAACTGACTTGGTGTCACTGATATCCCCAGTGACACCAATACAGTGATCAGTGCTAAAAAAAAGCATTGACACTGTACTAATGGCATTTGGCAGGAAGGGGTTAACATGAGGGGTGATCAAAAAAAGATTGTAGATTGTAAGCTCGAAAGAGCAGGGCCCTCAAACCCCTTGTGTAGTGTATTGTTACTGTCTTGTCTCATGTTCTGTCCCCCTTGCTACTGTACAGCGCTGAGCATACCCTTTGGCGCTATATAAATACTGTAATAATAATAATCAAAAGGGTTAACTATGTGCTGTTTTTGTGTTCTTTACTGTAAGCAGACTGCTTTGGATGGCTGTGCTGACAGGGAGAATTTTTTGTTTACAAATCACTGGTTGGAGCTTGGTGATTGACAGCCGCGGCCGCGAATGGCGGCGTGGATAGGGCGCACGCGTGCCACCTACCCTGAGATGCAAAATCACGTATAGATATACATGTGATTTTGCACACCCGTGCCACCCTGTAGCAGTATTTCTGCTACAGGGTGGTCGGGAAGCAGTTAATATTATCTGGTTCAGTCTCAACTCCAAGGTGTCACACAAGAAGCATCTCATTATGGGCAAAAGTAAAGAGCTCTCTCAAGACCTTTGCAACCTTATTGTTGCAAAACATACTGATGGCATTGGATTACAAAAGGATTTCAAAACTTCTGAATGTTCCAGTGACCACTTTTGGAGAGCTTTAGAAAGGCCTGGAATTACCAGGTACAATTGTTTCAAAGAAAACAAAAAGTAATGCACTCAACCGCCCGCCATGGCCTGTATGCACGCTGACCACGCTGACCACGCAAGACTCCATTACTGAAGAAAAAGCATGGTGAGGCTCGTTTAAAGTTTGCTGCACAACATTTAGACAAGCCTGTGAAATACTGACAGAATACAGTCTGGTCAGATGAGACCAGATGGGAACACCATGGTGTGGGGCTGTTTTTCAGCATATGGTACTGGCAAACTGCATATCATTGAAGGAAGGATGAATGGAAAAATGTACCAAGAGATTCTTGATAAAAATCTGCTGCCAGGATGATGAAGATGAAACGAGGATTGACATTTCAGCAAGACAATGATCCCAAACAAAAAGCCAAGGAAACTCTCAATTGGTTTCAAAGAAAGAAAATAAAGCCGCTAAAATGGCACAGCCATTCACCTGACTTGAATCCAATAAAGAAAATCTATGGAAAGAACTAAAGATCAGAGTTCATAGAAGAGGCCCATAGAACCTTTAAAATTTGGGTCAAAATGGGTCAAAATCACACCTGAGCAATGTATGAGACTAGTTTCTCCATACAGGAGGCGTCTTGAAGCATCGTTACCTACAAAAGATTTTGTATGGAGTATTAAATAAATTTCAGTTAGAGTGTTCAATACTTTTTCCCTGTGTCATTCCGTTTTATTACACATAACTTAATTTATGAACTTATTTGCTTTGATTTCTTTGTATGAATGGATTGCATGAGTTGTTACCGACACATGGTGAAAATTTCATATCAATAGCACCTTTAAAAATATATTTACAGAGAAAAATGGTAACGTGTTCAATACTTATTTTACCCGCTGTATATACACTATATTGCCAAAAGTATTGGGATGCCTGCCTTGACCCACTCTTTACAGCTATAACAACTTCAACTCTTCGGGGAAGGCTGTCCACAAGGTTTATGAGAGTGTCTATGGGAATGTTATATGTTTGACCATTCTTCCAGAAGCCCATTTGTAAGGTTAGGCACTAATGGACGAGAAGGCCTGGCTCGCAATCTCTGCTCTAATTCATTCTAAATGTGTTCTATCAGGCTGAGGTCTTTATTGACCTTGCTTTGTTCACTGGTGCACAGTCATGTTGAAACAGGCAGGGGACATCCATAAACTGTTCCCACAAAGTTGGGAGCATGAAATTGTCCGAAATGTCTTGGTAAGCCAAACCTTAAGAGTTCCCTTCACTGGAACTAAGGGGCCAAGCCCAACCCCTGAAAAACAACCCCACACCATAATCCCCCCTCCACAAAACTTTACACTTGGCACAATGCAGTCAGGCAAGTACCATTCTCCTGGCAACCGCCAAACCCAGACACATCCATCGGATTGTCAGACAGAGAAGCATGAGTGATCACTCCAGAGAACACGTCTCCACTGCTCTAGAGTCCAGTGGCGGCGTGCTTTACACCACTACATCCGACACTTTGCATTGCACTTGGTGATGAAAGGCTTGTATGCAGCTGCTTGGCCAAGGAAACCCATTTTTTATTAAGCTACACACTGCTGTTGTGCCAATCTGAAGGCCACACAAAGTCTTTAGCTATTGACTTTGCAGACAGATGGCAACTTCTGCGCACTGTGCACTTCAGCATGTGCTGACCCCGTCATTTTGCGTGGCCTACCACTTCGTGGATGAGTTGTTGTTATTCCCAGTTGCTTCCACTTTGTTATAATGCCACTAACAGTTGACTGTGGAATATTTAGTAGCAAGGAAATTTCACGGATGGACTTATGTACAGGTGGCAACCTATCACGGTACCACGCACTTGAATTCATTGAGCTCCTAAGAGCGACCCATTCTTTCACAAATGTTTGTAGAAGCAGTCTGCATGACTAGGTGCTTTATTTTATTTACCTGTGGCCATAGAAGTTGATTGGAACACCTGAATCCAATGATTTGGATTCAGGTGTCACAATACTTTTGGCAATATAGTGTATATGTGTGTGTGTGTATATATATATATATATATATATATATATATATATATATACACACACAACACCTTAAAAAATGGACCTTGCTGGGCACCACCAAGGAACAGCTGAATGATTTGAAGAGAACTGGTTGGGTAACTCAAAAGTTTGGTTGTTAATTATCAGAACTGTGCACACCTACATATAAAAGACTGTCCCCTTTTTAGGGCACGTGTAGCTGGGCTTTGGTTACCCATACAAGTCAACAGGAATGCAAACCAAACTTGAAGCAGGTTGTAAAGTTTAGAAAGATCAACTGCAGGTCAAATGCACTTGAACTCAATGAAAGAAATCATAAATTTAACCTAAAAGTAGTCTAATGCACTTGAAAGCAAGCAGCATTTGTCTATTGACACAATCTTTACCTTTGTAGGGACCCTGTACCAGGCAGGAATTTCATGTTTTGGGGACAGCTTAGGCTAAGTTTATCCTAAACGTATGGATGTATTTATTTCCATCACTTTTTTGTTGCTTAGGTCTAAAGAGCAAATACAGGGATGATGGTTATTGTCATGAAAAAATAATTAGCATGGCCAATCACTGTCAGTCTGACAAATTGGGGGAGAGGTACTAAAACTGGAGCACTCAGAATCTGGTGCAGCTGTCCATGGTATCCAATCAGTGTCTAACTTCAGCTTGTTCAATTAACCATTTCAATACCGTGCAATTTTACACCTTCCTGCCCAGGCCATTTTTCATGTTTCAGCGCTCTCACACTTTGAATGACAATTGCGCGGTCATACAACACTGTACCCAAACTAAAATTTTATCATTTTCTTCACACAACTAGAGCTTTCTTTTGGTGGTATTTAATCACCGCTGGGGTTTTTATTTTTTGCTAAATTAACAAAAAAAGACCAAAAATTTTGAAAAAAAAAAACACGTTTTTCTTTGTTTCTGTTATAAAAGTTTACAAGTAAATAATTGTCCTTCATAAATTTAGGCCGAGATGTATTCTGCTACATGTCTTTGGTGAAAATAACCCAAATTAGGATGTATTATTTAGTTTGTAGGAAAGTTATAGAGTTCACAAACTATGGTATAGATCTGATTATTGATCAATCCTGAAGTACAGACAGCCAATCTAATTTCTTGAAGTCCAAGAATGTCAGAATAGTACAGATATCCCCCAAATGACCCCTTTTTGCAGAGTAGACAGTCCGACGTACTTCATAAGAGGCATGGCGAGTTTTTTGAAGTTGTATTTTTTTTGTCATAATTTTTCGGAAAATGAAAAAATTAAAAAAATTATTTTCACTATTTTTTTTTTTACATACTGTCACCAGTGCAGTACAGCATCATCCTATAACTGGCATGGCGGTGAAAAGGGACGCTGACTGGTGACAGTATGAAAAAAAAATATATATTTTTTTTTTTTATTACATTTTTTAAAAAATTTTTTTTTTTAAGATTTTTTTTCATATATTTTACTATGACCAAAGTCGTACAATGTTACCATAGTAACATTGTACTACTTTGGGGAAGTGATCAGTACTTTTTTTTTTTTTTTTTTTTACACAATTTGCTTATAGCAAAGAATTACTTTGCTATAAGCAAGCATTTACCTGAATGAAATTGATTCATTCAGCTTTTTTTTTTTTTTTTGTGCTTAGCTGTGATTTGGTCACAGCTAATCACATGACATGTGCATGTGATTAGCTGTGACCATTCACAGCTAGGCACTAGTATACAATGAATGGCATGAATGAAGCCATCCATTGTATACAACTGTCATGTGACCTGCTGTGATTGGTCACAGCAGGTCACATGGCACCAGCAACGGGGCCGGTACTCAGATCTGTCTTCGGCCGTGTCCAAGGTACGCGGCCGGTGACATCGCGCTGCTGCGCCGCTCTGCATTAGCGCAAACTGCGCATGTGCGAGAGCACGCCAAATGGCGTGCACCCGGAGTGCAGCAGCGCTTTTGAAGCCGCCAAACAGCCATTGGCCGCGCGGCTAATGGTTAAGCTTTGACAATAAAACCTGGAAGCCGAATGGTTTCTATGCTGAGCTGCCCCCGATTTTGCACTTTCCAGTTTTAATAAATCTCTCCCACTGGGCTGTGCTAGGAAATTAATACATTTTTATCACTTCCCCCCACTGATAGGATGGAAAACGTTCAAATATTATCCCCCAACTGCGGCAGGAGATACAGGGGTTAGACATAAAAATGAAAACACTACCTGAATTGCAGGTGTGAAGCTGACGACATGTTTTGCATTGAAAACGGAAGTGATGTAATATTCCTCTGCTTCCGCTGTGTGATGAGACACCTAGCTGACATCTGGGAAGCCTAACTCTTGTTATTCACTGCATGTGCTGCTAGTAATATGGAGTAATGCCAGAGCTTATGGAGCTTCAAAGAGGGCATATTGTTGGTGCTCGCTTAGCTGGCGCCTCCGTGACTGAAGATGCCAATTTATTTGCCATGTTGCAAGGTACGGTATCAAAGGTTATGACGGCATATACAGTCATCTTCACACTTGGAAATCATGTAGTGTTTCCATTTTTTTGCCTAATCCCTGTAGACTATCCTATGTCGGAGATTTACAGCCTGGCACTAGGCTGGCATTTGCTTTCTGACAGGAGGTGAATAAAAATGAATAAAAGTATCAAAAAAAAAAACACCTATCCCCAAGATGAGAGGGTTAAGGGTGTACTACCAAAATTATTAATGTTAATAAAAGATTCATGCAATTGCTCATTTCTCAATAGTTTGAGGAAATCACTCTTAGCAGCCAACAGTACTGGCTAGGGGGAATAAAGCAAACTATTGGAATCTGCATAAGCAACCTGTAGCCACCAGTGTGAGCCAAGAGAACCACCAGAAGTTTGACTGTTGGATAATCAGTACATTTACCTACCACTACTGCATGTGTGGGAGTCAGAGAGTACTAAAACCTGAAGGAATAAAGGCTGTGTTTGGAGAAATTTTTTTTTTAATGTATGCTTTTTAACCCTCCTTCACACAAGTTCCCTGGTTCTACAATAAAATTGCTCAATTTATTTAATGCCCATTTTCTGGCCAGTACATTCAAAGGACTCACACTGAGAGGAAAGGCTGCTTGGAAAAATCTGCAATTAAATGGCCTAGAGATTTTCAGAACGCGAACTAATGTAATTCCCATTTTGCTGAAATCACGTTGTTCAAGCCAGACCATCCAGTGACCTCCAGCATTTTGCAGCTAGAAACTCACAAGATACATAAATGGGCAAGATATGATTTGAGCCTTTACTTAGGCGGTGGAAGCTTTTAACACTGCATTTGCTAAAGAACAACATTCAATACAGTGGGTTTGATTTACTAAAACTGGAGAGAGCAAAATCTTGTCTCAATTTCAGGTGTTTAGGATTTATGTTGTCTTATTCAATTAAATACCATAATATAATGTAGATGGGAGTAGATTTCAACTAGAAATACAGAATTCAAAAAAAATCAAACTTTGGCACACCCACTCCTAACTACTGATCCTTCAAAGTGATGGACAGCCTCGCTAACTAATACTGTAAAGTAGAAGGGGTAAGCTAGATTCTGCCTCAACTGGCAATTCCACAATCAACAGAGATCTAAAGAGATGTACTGGTACCTCCATGTGCCTAGTTGTCAGTTTAATACTTTTCTTAGCCCGACAAGTTGGACAACATTCACAAAGACATTTTTATATATTTTTCCACTTAAACATTTCTTACCCTAGGTTCACACCTAAGCGTTTTCCGCAGTGTTTTGCAGAAAAGCAGTACAGTCCATTTAACATGATTTCCTATGGGACATGTACACATCTGCGCGTTCTCACCCGATACGTTTTTTGAAAAGGGTCAGGAACTTTTTTAAACGCAAAAAAGTTGCGTTTTTGGTTCTATAGACTTCAATAGAAATACTGCAGAAAAGCTTGTAGTAACTATGTGAGAAAGATGAAAGGATTTACATACCTTATATTCTCGTATGGAAGAGAGGTAATAGAACAATGCAGAGTGGGTGGGGTTACATGGGGGGAGGGAGGTTTTAATTAGGGCGGGGGGGAAATTAGATAGGGGGGGTGGTAAATGGGAATAAAGATAGTCAGAAATGTTATTAAAGATATGGAAATGGTTTTTTTGTATGAGATTAATGAAGAAATATGTATTATATATGGAAAATAAATAAAAATTTAAATAAAAAAAAAAAAAAGCATGTAGTGCATTTTTGATGCGTTTTAAATCTGCCTAGCAACAAGAAAAAGAAAAGTAAAAAAAAAAGCAAAATGCATCAAAAACGAGGCATAAACGCAGGTGCAAAAATGCAACGCAAAACGCAATACAGAAATGGCTCAAATGCAACCTGAATAGGTGTGAACCTAAACACGCGTTGACAGTAGCTCCTCTATTAGGATGCCCCGGGTCTTTGCTATTTATAACCTATTTGTCCGGCTAATAGTAGCAGAACTTGATTGGCCTTGTCTAATGGAGGTCTGAATCTATTTTGAACCTGGAAGGAGTGATGTGGGGTTAATGTGGAGCTAGGACATTTGATTGTCTATGTGGTTACTGACAGCCTCAAGATGGAGTTAGCCACCTGCACCTACTGGCAAGTGGCCACTATGAGCTGAGTATGCTTGGACCCCGGTGACACACAGGAATTAAGTGGGACTTTCATTCAGTTCTCTTCCCCTCCTCTTTACTTCATAGAGGATCCCCATGGGACAAGCCATTGAGATTGGATCGTAGTTCCACTATTCCAGTTATCTTATTTGCAATCATTGTGGCTTGATGATCATTATCTGAGACATTCAGTTTGGCTATTTCCTATTTGGATATCCATGTTGAGACTGCCAAACTAGGTCTGTTAACAGCCATGCTCCCCTAGCATATTTCCTCCTG